ACATCGCGATAACCCAATAGACTGCACTGGCTGAAACCAATGTTCCTGCAGGTCCTAACATGCCAGGGAGGTTGTTACGATAGCGATTAGACTAAAAGCAGTTACCGGCTGGGGGACTGAGGGCGAAGTCGTACTTCTGGGGAACAAGGGTGTAACAGCAGTGAGATGTTTCCCTCAGATGACCAACATGCCAGCTAAGCTGTCTCTCCACTCCGGAGAGAGGGGGTTAGAAAAGGTCGACCCCAAAAATTGTACATCCCGACTTCCCCTACGGTGGTCCGTAACTGGCCGTAAGTTTACTAATACGGAACCAATCCCAGAAACCAGTTCATACAGACCGTGTGTGACCGGCTGGCCTCAAGCAGTTGTCCCCTGGGCTCTGCGGTTACGCAACACTAACCCTCTCTCTGTTTCAGGTACCCGAAGAGATATTATGGACATCGATACAAACTGTTGTGTTTTTTCCGTTATTAGATACGCTTATTTGATGCAACACACAGTCTGATAAGGGTTTTATATTAACTAACTAACTAGCTGACATTTCGAGCATAATTCCTTTCTCAAAAATAGTTCTAATAGTTTTTCAATTCATCAATAATTAATGAAGACAGATATTTTTTGTTGTTGTTGAGAAATAGCTCTTCTATTCAGTGTTTTTTTACCATCCATCTTAACTTACAGAAGATTTAAAAATATATCATCATCATCATCCGCTGACGATGTTGAATTCTCTTTCTTCTCTTTTTTTTACTGTTCACCACCCACCTGCTTCACAAAATTCTTTTAGTTAGCATAAAAAGTTCTTTTTTGATCTTGATTATATTGTTTCAATTTTTAATAATGTTGCCGAATCACTACTAGAAGGACTTGCATGTTCGTCACAGGTGACTGTTTGTGTGTGAATGTGTGTGCGTGCTTGCCTGTGTGTTTTGAGTCTTAATTGTTGTGTCAGTTTATCAAGCCTTACAGACTGAATATATATATATATATATATATATAAAGTTTAATTGAATTTTAGATTTTCCCGTCGATTGATTGATTCGACCGAAGTGGTCGATCTCAAGTTGACCTGTCGGCTTCTTGTGCAGATGCTTCGACGATGTATGGTCACGTAATTAGAATTTAATTGGTGAATAGTGACTAGCAGTGGAATTCAGCCAGGATGCGCATTTCGTCCTATTTGCAACTCGTCAACTGGGTTAATTAATACGACCCGTTTCACAAGAGGCAATGGCTCTCGTGGCCCAAGTGGTCTAGTGGATAACGCTATGGCGTTTGAAACTATGGGCACTGGGGTTGAGCCTGGGGGAATCAAGATGATGAGTCCCAAATAGGACGAAATGCGCGTCCTGGCTGGATTCCACTGCTAGTCACCATCCACCAACTATATATATTATGTATTATTGGTCTAACTTTTCTTTTAAGTAAAGCAACAGAGACGAAATCTGTAGCATAAAATGACGCCACAGGTTCTCGTCAGCTGCAGGCCATCGCCTGAAATTACAGTAGTTATAAAAGAACATTGCCTGGAGTTCTTCTATTAAAAAGTCTTGACTACTTGTGCCCGTTAAGTCGTGAGTGAGGATAAATACTCACCAACAACATTGGCTGGTGACTGACAGTTGCGCTAAACTCACGAATTAATAGAAGTCAGAATTCATAAGCTGATCATTGAAATAGGTTCCAAAGACTGAATGGTCGTCAACGAGCTTGACTTGTAGCTGAAAGATCCCGAGTTGGAACACTGGTGGGTGTGTACTGTTGGAGAGTCCCAAACTAGGACGAAACAGCTGTCCAGTACTCCTTGTTAGTTATCAATGTGGTGAAGTTCGACAAGGAGTGCGAACGCTTCAACGACCTTGAAAGCATGCTAGTCGTTGGCTAACGGGACTTGTCATAATCATAGCTGAAATATCAATGCTATTCACCAGCTGAGGAGTAAATTTCAGCAAGATCACGTTTTTAAGTACTTTTTGGACAATGTGTTAATAGCTCGTTAGGTTTAGGATTAGGGTTATGATTAGGATTACGGTTAGGTTTGCAATTAATAGTGTTCTCTGACCTGGTTGGTTTCGTTGCAGAGCTTTCGTCGTCCTTCTTGACAACATCTTCAGCGCAATATTTAGCATTACAGTTACAGTTACGATAAGGGTTTTAATTAGAGTCACAATTAAGGTTAGGGTTACAATTATGGATAGATTTAGAGTTGATGTCATTTATTTTAATCTGTTTCCACATTGTCGATCCTCTTACTAGAAATCATAGTAATTCAACCGAAGGCTTTTGGGGAAGACTGCACAACAGGATAAGAGAGATAAACGATTCACAAAAACAGCTCATCTGTGGTCAGCTTGGTAAATACATGTACAAAAACTAGTCTAACTTAGCAACTGATACTTCATCTCAACACGAATACAGAGGGCTAGTTTCGCATATGCCAGTTTACGCCATCTCTGGCGTAGACGTGATATCCGACTATCGACCAAAGGGCGTGTGTACTGCTCAACAGTCCGCTCCGTCTTCCTTTATGGCTGTGAGACCTGGCCATTGAGAGCAGAAGACATGAAAAGATTAGCTGTCTTTGATCATAGGTGTCTGCATTCTATCTCCCGTGTGGAGTGGTATAATAAGGTGAGCAGTTCTGGGGTTAGGCATCGAGTGCTAGGTAAGGAGGGGAAATCAATCAACAAGACTGTGAAATTACATCAACTGAGATGGTTAGAACATGTGCTACGAATGAATGCCTATTCATCGCCTTCCTCGACGGGCAATGTTAGCTGATATAGGGCCAGGCTGGAAAAGAGCTAGCGACGGTCAAACGAAAACATGGCACCAGTGAATGAAATCTACAACAGTTAGTTTAAGCCACGTAGGGAGATGTAGACTTCCTGGTTGGAGTCATCGGGACGGTAAAACCCTATGGTTGGAAACAGTCGGTGACATGGCTCAAAATCGTTCTCAGTGGCGCAGATGCATCCATTCCTTGTGTCTTACGATTTCCAATTAAACTGTTTTGTTCTTCGTTATTACTATTCCTTTGTCTCACACCTCTGTTTACTGTCTATATTATGCATTTCTCCTACTTTCTTCTCTTGCTTTGTGTGCTACATGGAGTGTGGTGACTTGAACTGCTGCACATATGTGCAAAGTTCTATGTCGAAAACCGACCGACCAACCGACCAACTGATACTTCTCATTATAAGTTGGACGTATTTTTAAATTATGTCAGAGAAAGATACCCTGTTTAATGTGTTTTCATGCATATTTTTGTAAATATACGTTATTTTTTTGTATAAAAATTCCTCATTTTTATGATTGGTCGGCTCAAAAACACTCGTGCGTTCGCATCCCTTGGGACGCTATTGTTGAACTTTGCCATCAATGTTTCTCTAATTGATTTCAATCCCTGATGAAATTTGAAATAAATCAAATCCATACAAACTAACTCCTAAAAACTAATTTAATATTGATTACAAGATTTCAACATGAGCTGACATCAGTTAGAGAACCATTGGAAAACCTGGGAGTACTGGACAGCTAGTTGTTTCCTCCTTCCTAGTTTAGGACTCCTCATCAGTACGCACCCACCATCCAGTGGTCGAAACCACCACCTTCTGGTTACAAGGCGAGAGAGTTCGTAGACCATTAAGCCACTGGAACCCGCCAATCCAATGGCTCATGAATTCCGCCTTCTGCCAATTCACAACATAGCACGACCACTAGCGAATGTCATTGGCGGCGGGTATTTGTCTTCACACCTGATCTACTGTTCCATACTGGTCACGACTTCGCACTAGAACCCCAGATAACTACCTACCTGAATAGGGCCAATCGCTAGTGAGCATCTCATTGGTATTCAAGTGTGTAGTTTGTGGGGATTTGATTGTTTAGTTACGGAATTTCATGAAAAGCTAACATCGGTTAGAGAACCATTGGAAAATCTGGGAGTACTGGACAGCCAGTTGTTTCCTCCGTCCTAATTTGGGACTCTTCAGCAGTACCCACCTACCGGAGTTGAAAGCATTTCTAGTTGCACTAGTGTGTGTCATCAGTGTTAAGTCAGTTCTGTACGGGTCAGAAATGGCACATCACGAGAAGCGTTTCCAACAGACAGCTGCAGACTTCTATCAACAACTGCCTTTGTTCCGTATTGAAGGTCAAATGGCCGGTGGTGGAAAGAGCCAGCGACAAGAAACTCTGGGGACGAACTGACTAACCAACAAACTATTACTCAACAAATATTCCGAGGAAAATGAAGATGGGTTGGACACACGCTGAGGAGACCGTCGAATGACACCGCGTTTCAAACCCTCAAAAAGGAACCAAAACGCGAAATGACGAGTGAGTCATCCAAGGGTAATATTGAGGAGATCGTGTGAGGGGGAGCATAAGGAGATGAAAGACTATGGGCAAATCGTGGGACCACAGAAAATAGGAGGAAGTAGAGGTATGCTGTTAGAGTTCTATGTTCCATTCGGAGCCAAGGGAACAATAATAATAAAATGTGTGCATTGATGTTTGTCTAGATTAACCGATGTTTATTTAGCTGTTTATTCTAATTTTCGGGTATTAGTTTGTAAATATATGATTGGTTTCAAGCTTTGATTATGGATTGATAACAGTTAGAGAATTATTAAAAACCAGGGGTACTGTACCGGACAGAGCTGTTTCGTCCTATTTCGGGACTCTTTGGCAGTGCTATGGATCGAACCTTAGAACCTTCAAGTAACTAGGCGAATCCGTTGATGACTATTTAGCCACTAGGATGGAACCCAATAAAATGACTCATGAATTCTAACTTCTCTCAGTTCTTCATTTTTAACGCCACTACCAAACAATGTTACCGGCGAGTATTCATCCTTACACTGGTCATAATTTCTGATTAGAACCAACCACACTGGGCAACTTTATCCCATATCCAGTCGCTAGTGAGCATTCGAATAGTTTTCAGGCTTGATCCTCTCCTATTCTATTATTATTTCCTTTTTTTCTTCTTCTAGCCTGTACCATCTTCAAAAGATAAAGTCGAAGTAGAATCTTGGCGTTGTCATCGATTGCAAGAAATAGTCACCAGTGTTATCCCTTCATTAAAAGATGCCGAGGTGGTAACTGAATCAGCTTGTTACCTGCCTATATCATCTGATGGTGTACCTGTTATCGGTAAAGTACCCGGTGTATCAGGTGTATACATTGCAACAGGTAATTCCTGTTGGGGTATTCTAACCGGACCAATTACTGGACGCCTATTAGCCAGTATTATTTTAAAAGATAATCCAAATTTAACACAGAATAATAGTTCGGAGGTTAGTGAACAAATGAAGCTGGAGGAAGAAGAGGCTGGCCGTCGTCTACTTCAACAACCCGGTATTGAAGAATTTAATCCGGAGAGATTAGTGATAAGATAAACTAATGAGCTCCTTTGTATCCTTAACTAACTGACTAACTAACTAATATCTGATTTTATTTTGATTCGATTTGATTCCCTTGTGAAAAAAAGTTCTGTTTTTTTGGATAACTTATAAATAATGCCTTTTGCCTCCCCCCACCCCTACTATCTCTCTAAATGAGTACTTCTCACAGATTATTATTGGAACTGCTTCAATATTTACACATATATTTTTTTATATAAAACTTTAGTTAATATCATCATCAGTCCATTTTTCAATATCATTTACGCAGATATGTAGGTATCATTCTTTTTGTTCATATATCACCCACCCCCTTTTTTGTGCGCCCGTGTGTGCGTGTGATAACCCCATCTGCTCATTTTTATTTGATCCGTAATTGTTTGCTTTAATTTAACACTATAACTTCGATAGATATGAATAGAACAGAATATAATATAATCGTAGATGGAGGCGATCTCTTTTTGATTTGATCTTGCATCCGTTTTTGTTTTGTTTTTGATCAGCATTTTTTGAATATTTAGGAAAAAAATAATTGAGCTAACTGTCTGTTTGTCTGTCTGTTTTCGACATAGAACTTTGCACCGATGTACAGCAGTTCCAGTCGCCACACTTCCTCCATGTAGCATACAAAGCAAGGGAAGAAAGTAGAAGAAATGCAAAATAGAGACAGTAAAAAGAGGTGTGAGACAAAGGAATAGTAATAACAAAGAATGATATAGTTTAATTGGAAATCATAAGTCACAAGGAGTGGTTGTATCTGCGCTAGCTATTGAGAACGATTTTGAGTCATGTCACCGACTGTTTCCAACCATTGGTTTTTACCGTCTCGAGGACCCCAACCAGGAAGTCTACACCTTCCTACGTGTCTGGCTTAAACTAACTGTTGTGGATTTCATTGACTGATGAAGCCATGTTTTCGTTTGACCGCCGCTAGCTCTCTTCCAGTCTGACCCTATGTCAGCTAACATTGACCGTTGAGGAAGGCGGTGACTACGCATACGTAACACATGTCCTAACTCTCTCAGTCGATGTAATTTCACAGCCTCGTCGATTGATTTCCCCTCCTTACCTAGCACTCGACCGAAGCCTAACCTCAATATTGCTCACCATATTATACCACTTAACACGGGAGATAGAACGCAGGCACCTATGATCAAAGACAGCTAATCTTTTCATGTCTTCTGCTCTCAATGGCCAGGTCTCACAGCCATAAAGGAGGACGGAGCGGATTGCTGTGCAGTGCACCCGCCCTTTGGTCGATAGCCAGATAGCACGAAACCTAGGTCAACCAGGGCTTCCTGTGGCTGATTGCCTCAAACCATCTAATTATCATCAAATCAGTGTGCACCGTGATGGATGGCGAGCCACCTAGTGGCATGGTAGCCACATTGCAAATCTGACTGATAGAATTCAGTCTGCACCAAAAAAGAAAGGACTAGACACATCGCACTAGTTACTGACTAGTGTCCGATCGATCGATAAATTACTCTACCGGCTCAACAATAGTATATATATGTTTATATACATCGAATATGCCAGAATGGTAGTCAATAACAACATTAGTGTTTTTTTAAATACTATCGATTTGTTAAGAAAAGTCAATGGAATTACAGCTTATTAAAGATGCTTAAATAATAATAATAATGAAAATATAATAGCAAATAGAATGTCAACTTTCTACAAAAATTTGAGGATCATTGGAACCTAGATTGACGGCCAAGCTAAGGAAGTGTTTGAACCAACCAACTTTGTTTTTGGATACATCATAAGCTAGGTTTCTTAATGTGGATCTCAACAGCCAGCCTCAGCAATATGTAATAGACGATCTCTTAAGGTAAAGTTAAGATTAGTTGGTTGGTATGCGATAGATGACTTTGAAAGCTGCCTCGTTAACATCAATCTTGTTTTCTGTATCCACTAGATGAGATAGAATAGCGCTATGTGAATGGATTTTGTTTGTCCCTTCTTAACATTATGTTTACTACTAATACTATTATTATTATTTTTTACGAGTTGGTCACCGATTGATATCAGTTAGAGAACCATTGAAAACCAGTACTGAAATACTGCCAGACACCTGTTTCATCCTAGTTTGGGAGTCATCGGCAGTACGCACACACTGGGGTTCGAACCCAAGACCTTCCGGTTACAAGGCAAGCTAGCTCGTATACCATTCAACCACTGGGACCCAATTCACTGACCAGTGCATTAATTCTAATTTCTACCAATTCGTGATTTAGCGCGACCCCAACCAATGTCATCAGTGGGACATCCATCCTCACACTTGACTAGATGGACTTCACTGGTCATGACTTCTCACTAGAACTCCAGGAAACTCCGTCCTGTAGCAAGTCACTAGCGAGCATCAGATTACTTTTCTGTAGTTGGTTTGTAAGGATTAGTTATGTTTTACCAGTTGATCACGCATTGATGCCAGTTAGAGAACCACTAAAAACCAGCCACAGGGAGTACTGGACAGCTGTTTCATCTTAGTTTGGAAATCATCGGTTCGAACCCCAGTGGGTGCGTACTGCCGATGATTCCCAAACTAGGCTGACAGAACAGCTGTCCAGTACTCCCTGTGGCTGGTTTTCAGTGGTTCTCTAACTGTCATCAATGCGTGATCAACTGGTAAAAACAAAACTAATCCTTACAAACCAACTACAGAAAATTATTATTATTTCAATTTGTCTACGTTTTTTTTGTAAATTAAGCTCAAATGCAATGAGTTTTATCCAACATTTATTTGTATTCACTATATGAGTACTTTGTAGTGTCACTTGAATTCCTAGTTGGAACAAAAGAGGGCTTCACCAGCACATCAACATTTCACTTTGTTCTCTTCAGTCGGCCCTCCACAATCACCTGTAGGCTTTCATTTCCTTCTCTTTGTCACTGTCCGACCCACACTGAACTCGTTGTTCACCGATTCGGGCTCTACTTGAGAGTCTCTGCCTGGTATTTGATGTCACTTAATAGTCTCCTCAGTGTATGCGTAAACCACCTCTTGACTATTTCACTGCCATAATTCTTGGTTGCTTATTCTTCCTGGCTAGTTGGCTGGCTGGATATCCGATCTTTAGTATGGAGGAAAGTGGGTGATGAAAAGTATTGATGAAAATCTGCATTAGCCTATAGAAATTGCTCCCCCTCCCCAAGACTTGTTTGCTAAGTTTCTGAAACATATAGATTCACTAACTGGACATCAGTGTTAAAAATTTGAGTCTTATTCTTTGTGCTAAGTCCTATGAGTCTCTGCACTGATTTCAGAGTAATAAACGCCTTTCTTGCTTTTCCCTAATCCTGGCTATCTTTGATATCTTCATTTGTGCTGCCTGTAGTTGAGATGGTGTTGCCCAGTTATGTGAAAGAAAGAGGTGACTGCGTTAAAATTCCTCCAGTTGATGGTGATTTGTGCGTCTTCTTGTTGTTGTTTGAATATTTCCATCACCTCCGTATTCTCCAATATTCACTGGAATTCCTGTTCCCGCTGCCTTTTCTGGCAACCAGTATATGATTTTTGATTGGTGTCTCGTAATTTCACTAACTTTTGCATACATAATGTAATAAAGTTATTGTAGCATGTATGCGATTTATCCTTTAAAGTTATCTATATACCCGAATAGAATCACTTTGAGAGTTCATGTTTTCTCCATTTATTTTATGTTAAGTGGAATGTTTAGCTTACCCATAAGTGCTCATTAAAAAACATTATGTTAAATCCTTTACGTTACTTCGGTTGTAGTAATGTTCTTTTTGGTGCGTCGATGGCATAGGGGTAGAATGCTTGCCATCCATGCCTGATATGGTCCGGGGTTCGATCCCCAGCCACTGACGCACTCTCTCTTTACCTCGCTAAGCCAATAAATAAGACTGGCTAAAAGAGGGAAGGTCGGGCATAAGGCAGCTAGCAACCCCATCTCACTTTTTATACTATTTTACCGGTTGAATTCATTTTACTTCATCTTTACCTTTTTTATTGTCCTCATCATCGCGCTTTAAATTTCTTAAAAACACTTGATCAACTCCTAAAGTCATAATACCACTTCACTTATTTAGTAATCTTTCAAAATTTTGTATTTCATCCACTCCAACTCCACGCTCTGCGTCGTTACATTTTAGCATTCTTGTAAAATTTAACCGGACATTTTATACTACTAAAAAGTAGTTCAGTTGAAAATAGCTATTTTTTGTAGATTTGAAGCAAAAACCGATTAATGTACTCATATATGTTCAGCAAAGAGGGAAAGTTGAGCTTGTAACTCCACCTCGTAAAATGGAAGACAGCCACTGATAAAGCTACATGGAACGCAAAGGAACGGGAAAAACCTATTGAAATAACGTATACACACTTGTAATAAAAAAATTATATAGTTATGAATTCTAGTTTAAGTGAGAACAATATCACAAAGTGAGAGTGGCAGATATGTCTAGTTGACATGAGTTGCAGGTTTCGCGAGATGCGCATTTTGGAATCCACTGAGAGCCAATACCAAACAAGTAATAAATAAACACAAATCAGTTGAGAATCTTTCCTAAGTTTCACTTCCTATCTCCAATGATTTTCCCGATTGCAGTAGACTGGATAATGCGACAGACAACGGGCAGGGCAACGAAGAGACAGGCATAAAATAGACCTATACAAAAAAGCATGGGGGATCAGGACTTCGCTGATGATATATTTCTGATTTCCCACAAACTGGAAGAGATGCAAGTGAAAAGCAACAAGTTGGCGATAGAAGAATCATCCAGAGAAGATAGGACTTCAGGTGAACGTAGAGAAGAAAGAGGTGATAAAGATTCCTGGCTAACAGCAACGACAGACAACAGTCAGAATAAATGGGAGAAATCTGAAAGTAGCAACCTCCTTTACCTACCTACCTGAGAAGCATCGTTTCAACTGCAGGTGGACGGAACTAATCAGGATATCAAAGCAGCGAGAATCGGAAAAGCAAGACAAGGAACTAAAGGAAACAATAATAATAATGATATAATAAGTTTCACTTCGAAGCTATACAGTTATTAGGATGAAGAATGAATAAATTGTGAATCTTCGTTAATTAGTTTTACATAATCTGCTCTGCTTAACTAAGTTCCGTGACTAATACATTAATTCTCCTGATATGTGAGTTCATCTGTTTTGTTACTAACTGTTATACGCAAGTTGACCTGTGGACTGGCGTAGATGTGATATCCGGCTATCGATCAAAGGACGTGGCCACTGAAAGTGGAAGATAGTAAAAGGCTATTTGTGTTTGAACACAAGTTCGGAGTCCTATCTCCCGTGTGTTAAGAGGTACAATACGGTAAGTAATATTGAGCAGTTCAGTGTAGAATGTTCAGTAAGGAGTGTAAACTAATCAATAAGGTTGTGAAGGTGGACTAATTGAAATGGCTGAGATACATGTCGCGGATTCTGGACCATCTCTTTCTTCGGTAGACAGTATTAAA